AAAAAAAGTAAAAGATCTTATTCTCTATTCTTAGTGCTGTAGCTGATATACGTAATATGTCTACCATGATGGGTTTCACCAGATAGTTGTAGGATGGCTGAGTCAGGAGCTGGCTCCTCTAGCTGCCTAAAATTAGGTAATTATTTGGGGGGCACAGTTTGGAGTTTTGGGGGTACATTTTCCCTGTACTAAAAGTATAGGCCTCATTCTAAGGACTCTTTCTGAAATTCTCTAATACTTCTATAATGTCGATAAATCTTTTGTAATAGGCATTTGCGGTCGCATACTTTATCCACTTGGCAGATAAGGATGCTAAGAACAAAATGACAGGTAACTTGTCCTAGGTCATGAAATTACCAAGTGGCACAACCAGGATCCAAAGTTCCCTTTTCCTGGCTGTGAAGACATTCTGCTTCCTGTGAGGGTAAAGAGGTAGGAGAGGGAGAGGACTGGGTACTTCCCACCTCTCCTCTCTTGGGATCATGGCAGGAGTCAAGGGGCTGGTACAGATGGGACAGGACATACTCTTCTCACGTGTGTCAGAAAACTGTTGAGACCCACTGCGAATTCTGCTCCTGCCAGTGAGCACTAGCCATTTCCACATAAGGACATTGGATTAATTGAGCAAGTCACTTTCTTAAGATGTTTGTTCTTATTCATGAAAATATTTTAGTTGGTCAGACACCTACTGTGTATTTAGTTCATCTTTCCATTGTAACTCCGCATTATGTATCAGACTTGCTGTTCAAGAAATACTCATTTCTGTAGTATTTGTATGATTTATCTAAATTGAACTTATGCTTTATAACTTTTATTATAGAAAAGGCTTTTCAGTACTAATGATTTCAGTAGTTGTAAAGAGTTATCTTGTATATTTTTTGTGTGTTTTCTCTTTGTTTTTCTTTATAATTCTTGTCTTTGCAGTAGAATTCCCATGATCTGAATCCCTGAAGAAAAAATCATAAACTTAAGATATCCAGGAATTTTTGTCTGGTTTTATAGTAGCTTTTGTATAAGTTTCAGCTGCTTCTTCCTATATTCCCCCCAGGGTGTTTTGCTTTTTAAAAAAAATCTATTCCCACTAGCTGAAAATCAAATTTAGAACTTGGACACTATCTGTTGTCCTTATAGCCCCTTAGCTGTTGTGTGTTGTATCTGATGACTTGTTTGTCTCATGGTCTTTGATCTGACGATGCTGTAAATATACCTCAAGGACTTCCAATACATTTTTATTTCTTCCCCTCTACTTCCATAGGTGTAGAATGAAATTTACTGAGAAGTACATCAAAAGCACCTTTTCCTCTGTAATTAGTGTATTTTCATGAATTTTCTTTATTTGGGGCACTTTTGTCATTTCTAGTCCTTACTTTTTCCAAATACTTTTTCATGCTGGTCAAATATGTCAGCTTTTGTACTTGCAGTGTCATCTAGGCCACCTGCCCTCATTTTGGTGTCATTTCTATTTCACTGTGTCTTATAACCGTTGTTCATTGTTCTTTGCTCTTAGCTCCTCACTGGAGCTTTTATTCTTTTTTTAAATCCCATTTTCTACTGCTCACCTGTATAGGGAATATCTGACTTACGTTATTAAGCCTTTTTGTTGTTGTTGTTTATCTTTTTTTCATAAGGAAAAGAGCTGTGGACTTTTCTTCTGAGAAGGTTTTAGGCAGCCTATTATAGTAGAAATGGAATGAGCTTTAGAGTTAGATCGAACTGAATTTGAAATCTGATTCTATTACAAAGTAGTTGATATCCTTAGGAAAGTGGTTACAATTCTCTGGGCCTTCATTTACTATTCTATTAAACGAGGATAATAATTATGACCTGACCAGATTATCAAGAGGCTTTGGATGAGTATATGTAAAGCATAACATCTGGCACATAATATGTGCCTGATTATTATTAGCACTGTAATTATTATTTTATTATTGTTATTATTAGGTGGGTCATCTCATATTTGAATTGAGAACTAGCTGGTGATAGTGCTACATTTAAAGGAGGTTACAGCAGTAAATAAACGATAGAACCCGCCCTTGAGGAGTTTATCGTGTTTTAAAGAAGGGCAAATGTATACCAAAAACATCTAAGACGTAAGCAAATGTCCCTTATTTTTGAAGGTTACTATATGATGGTTTTAAACACTATAAATATTACTTAATTTGTCACATAATATCATCCACAGTTTGTTCACATTTTCAAGATAAGGGAAGTGAGACTTAAAGAGGAAGGGTTGATAGGTTTACCGCAGCCTGCTAAACTGATAAGGAGCAAGCTTTGGTGCTCAGGTCTTCCTAACCCTGAAGGATGTACTTTTTAACCTCTGTGCTATCCTGCTTGCACGAGGAATGTGGCAGGTATTATAAGACGTATGTAGTAATGCTGCTGGAGCTTTGAATAGGCAAGATCAGGTTTTTTGCCAGGGCTGATAGCAAAAGGCTTCTTGGAGGAGGTCACATTTGAAATGAACCATGGAAGGCTGGACATGGTGGCTTATACCTGTAATCCCAGCACTTGGGAGACAGGGGCAGGAGGATTGCCTTGAGTCCAAGAGTTTGAGACCAGCCTGGGCAACATAGCGAGACCCTGTCTCTACAAAAAATTTTTTAAAAAATTAGCTGAGCGTGGTGTTATGTGCCTGTAGTCCCAGCTAGCTACTCAAAAGGCTGAGGCAAGAGAATCATTTAAGCCTAGGAGTTCGAGGTTAGAGTGAGCTATGAACCAGCCATATCTGGGTGACAAAGCAAGACTCTGTCTCTAAGAAAAAAAAAAAAAGAAGAAGAAGAAATGAGAAATGGGCCATGGGAGTAGACAGGAGGCCAGATGGAATAGTTTCCTGTGATGTGTTTTCTGGGAGCATTTAGTTTAGCAGAGTACATGAGGGACTAATGGAGAAAATACTGGAATATGGGTTTGTGTTAGCTGAGAGGGGTCTTGGATTGTTCTCCCTAGTGAGTGGTATGACATGGCCATAGCTCAGTATTAGTAAGGCTTATTTTGCAGAATGGCGTAGGGCACTTTGGGAGTGAATGGAGTGGATCAAGACTCCGGTTGGAAGGCTATTGCAAGAATCTAGAAAAGATTTAACGAGAGCCTGCCTGAGTTGTGGGAGAGGCATGTGAAGGAAATGACAGATGGGAGAGCGTTGAAGAGGTGGCATGGCAATTCAGCTGAGAAGACTGCGTGCAAAATGACTGTCAGGTTCTAGCCTGGTCTCACGGGGAACAGTGCTTCCCGTAAGAGAAATGCTGTCACTAGTTTCAAAAAAAAAAGATAAATCTCCACAGACCTAATGGAGCATTTTGGCCAAGGCCACCAAAGCGTGGGGCTCTTAGACATAGCCCCGAGTGGGTCTTCATTGTAGTCTGTAAAGTGGCTCGAAGTTTTTCCATTGCTGTTCCTCGAGTGCTAACATATTGACTTCTGTTTGTATTAAGAGGGGCACTATGGAGGAAGTGTGAATCTGTGTAAGCTGTCAGAGCTGAATCTCTTCGATAAACTCACGGGATTCTTAGAATTGCAATCAGGCAAGGGTTCTGCTTGAGACCCTCTGTTTCCCAGGATGGGTGTCAAGGGAGAATGCAATTTTGGTTTTTGGGTCACTGACTAATATATGAAAGGGAAATCCCATGAGGGAACTCTGTTTTTCCCAAATATTGCTCTATAGCATTAAGTTTTTTGTTATAGATGGAAGAAAATGTATGCCATTCATTGAAGGGTGGTGAGGGGTAAGTAGGTTCAGAAATGTTGCTATTTAAGGATTTTGAGTGATGCTCACTTTCCTTTCTCCCTTTCAATTTTCTTGGTCAGTGTTTGTCAGGTTCAACTCCAGCCATGGTTTCCCAGTGGAGGTCGATTCTGACACCAGCATCTTCCAGCTCAAGGAGGTGGTTGCTAAGCGACAGGGGGTTCCAGCTGACCAGTTGCGTGTGATTTTCGCAGGGAAGGAGCTCAGGAATGACTGGACAGTGCAGGTGAGTCTCCCCTGGCGGATCGTTCCGGGGATGCAGCCAGCCCCATTGCTTATGCCGCTTACGCCGCCAATCTGACATTCGTGCCTGAGATCTAATAGAATAAATAGTGCCTGGGGATTCCTTGAACTTTACTCCACACTGCTTCATTAATTCTGACCTTCTTAATTATGCATTAAAACAGCAAGCAGGAAGGATTGGAAGAACAACTGTGAGTGAGTGAGAGAGAGAGGGAACGCAGGAGCTGGGCTTGGTGAATAAATGTTTACTGACTGCAGGAGCAGCAAGGCACAATTTCTGTGTCTGTTCAATTTCTACCTTACTTATTCCATTTGAATCTTAATGCAGAAGGATTCGAATAAATTGTTCCAAATCAGGCTGCTCAGTCTCTGCACTGCGAGGAATTCACAACCCAATTGTGACCCCTGGAGGACAGTCACGGCCGCTGCCATCCTGCGCTGCAGGAGGTGCAGGCACAGGGCCCCACTCACAGCCAGCTCTGGGAGTTCTCCGTCCTGGATGGGAACGGCACAGTTCCAAAGCTGGAGGGGAAGGGAGACTGGAGCTTAATTTCTCCAAAGTTCAGTAAAATTGTCCCTGGAATAGTCCCCCGGAATATTGCAGAGTGAGCGATGATGCTCTCTTCTCTCCTGGCCCCAGCATTTTCAGGCACCCCACTGCTCCTAGCACCATTAAAGCCCCATATACTTTTCATCGTGTGTCATTCAGAGTGGTGATTTTTGTAGGAATTAGAGGGAACTGGTTCGGAGATTGATGCACTGTGCCATCGCCTAGAAGTAGAGACCAGTAATTTGTTGGGGAAGCCAACAAATACAGTTCAACACGTATTGAAGTTATTCTTTCTGAAAATAGGAAAGACTAAATGCCTTCTGTGGATGGTTCCTGTGATTGTTGAAGGGCCCTGCAGACACATTTGCCCTCTTTCTTAACCTGCACTGATTAATTGCACTCATGTTTACAGCTGCGTGGGGACCCCTGCTGTGCACAGGGGGCTCCTGTGTCTGGGTGCAGGGAGTCAGTCCATCCCTGTATCTACATCTCCTCACTCTCTCTTCTGAGTGATGATATTTACTGCCTCATGAAATGCTCTCAGAATTTGGATATACAAAGAGGCTATAGAAATGCAAATTGTTCCTGTTATTCTCCATTGCATCTCCTGCTGATGGGGTGAGGCACATACTCACTGTGGGCAAACTGCTGTGCTTTGCTTTTAGGCAATTTGGTTTCATAAGAGAAATGCATGTTCTAAAAAGTATTTTGACTTTTTTTTTTATATTTCAGTCAACTAAAAAGCTTTTCACTGTACCTGTCAACCTCTAAATTCAAGAATGTTTCTTTAACAAATAAATAATTTCAAAATAGCTTCTTGAATCAAAACATTTTATATTACCAGAACTTGCAGGTTCTATCACTATTCACCTCTGCCATTTGGGCTGATTGGTAAAACAATTAGCTATTTCATATGTAGTTAGACTAATTGCTACAGATGATTGATTTTACAAACATATATGCATGAGATATTTATTGATTTAAGAGTCTTTATTGTGACAAACATTTCTTATGTACTTCCAATGTTCAGGCCTCGAAAGGGATCCAAAAGAAAGGCAAAACTCGGCCCCTGCCTTCCTGGAGGCTGTTCTTTATTTAGGGGCTCTAAAGCCAAAAGAAATATTAGCCTGAACCATACAGGATTACCATTTTTATAGGTTAAAATTATCAGCAATTCCATGTGGTTCAACCTAATAGCTATAAGGTAAGGATGCCAAATGTAACTGCCATATCACAACTGAAAAATAAGTTTATGAAGTTTTAAAGATAGAGAAAACACATCTAATTGGAAGTCACTAGGAAGGACTTCAGGGATGAATTGAATTCAGGTAGGATTTCATAGAGGGAGGAACGAGCATAGAGAATGCTTGGAGAAAAGGATATTCTTGTTCTTCTAGAACCTAGAGGAAATGTTAAAGATTGGGCAAAAAGTAGAATTTGGAGCTGTATTTTACAGAACCTTGACTGACTTGGCATTGCATTCTCATTTGTGGAGAAGTAGAAAAAAATGGGATGAAATAGAGAAATACGGGAAATATGAAGATCCAGTTTGGGTGAAGGATGATTAGTTTTTCTATTTAATTATACATGATGGGATTGATGTCAGCTGGATATATGTTTGGAGATGTCTAGCTGGCTATTGAGAACTTAGGTCTGAAGACACTGAAAAATAAGGCATTTTATATTTATGATACTTCTATTAAATCACAGTTTAGTGATTAAGGTGCTGAGAAGTTGGCAAATTGTGTTCATATAAGAGTTTCATTATACAGACTAGGCAGTTACACATTTAATTGCAAATTGATGGCTGTAATTTATTTAGGTGTGTAATTGGCAGAATTTTAGCATTCTTTGATATTCTTGTATTATCTTGGAGCATATGTTTACAGCTATTTAGTCACTACCATTTAGTTACCCTTTATCATTATAGGTGCTATATTTTACAGTATAAGCACAAAATGTATTATGAGAAGTT